TCCAGTTCTAAACAAAAATCAATGAAACTAAAGGATCATATGGCCGAAGCACTCTTCAGAGTTAAGTTGAACCCAGTAAGGAGATCATTTTCTGTGATGGTTGTGAAAAAAAACAACAACAAAAAAAGCTATCAGAATCATCATTGTAAACATAGATACTGCCCATGACGATGTGATAGGCAGACTGTAGATTCTAAAGGCATAAAAAAGCCTCATCTTTTTATTGATAGTACAATACAAAGCATCTTGTAAGGGAATAATAACTACATTGTTATTTTGTTACTCTTTATTGTTATCATTATTTTTTCTTCTATCTGAGTTGTTTTTTTTTTATTAATAGCCATCTGCTCAAATTAATCTGTGCTTTTTTTTTCCAGCTGACACTTTATTATAAACTTGTTAAAAGAATTTCACACATTTTTGGTGAAGACTTTAAGACAATTAAAAAAACCTACAAGTAGCATCATTCCTTAACACAAATAATTTATGTTAGAGAATGTTTCAAAGGAGCTGAGACTTTTTCCTCATGTTTAACCCATCTGTTCTACCTTTTCTGCTCTGGTTGTTTCTGCAGTCTACTAACCGGGTGTGAGGTCCATATTATTCTTGTCATTGCAGCCCTGAAGGGAGTCCAGCGTACGGGTGACTTGGCTAGCATATTCCTCGCCGCCGTTCATGCATTCTCGCTGCAAATGGTGACGCAGGTCTGTAATGTCGTACTCATACCTGCAGATGAAACTGGATTCAGTGCAATATACTGACATAACTTAAGCTGGTGAATGAGATAAAAAATTAATGCTTAGAAATATTAATAACTGTCTTCCAATTATTAGCTTTTCATTGTTAAAATAAGTCCCTCCCACATGTTTGGACATGTTCTGCATGACATATACCCGTCCAAAATTGGTGTTTCACGGATGCTGAGGGTGCCAGCAGAGTTCGGCCCCTGACCCCTGGAGTTTCTTAGGCTTTCCCGAGCCTGGCCCCCCATCAACACTGATGGGATGTAGTGTATCTCATTAGCTGCCTCAGCACTGGCACTTTTTTGGGGCTGAGGGATGCGGCGTCTCTTACACCAGCGCCTGCGGGTGTACAGGATCAGGACGAGGCACAGGACGGACAGCAGAAGGGCGATCATTCCACCCTGGTGGGAGAAGAACAGAGACAAAACACAAAGGGAGAGAAAAAAATGACACATTGAGAACACAGTGGAAAATTCCGCCTAGGCAAAAATAGATTAGATAAACTGGTAGAACCAAAAGTACACTTTACTCTAATACAAGTTTCCAGCTGTAGGTTAGTGAAAAATACCTACAGTGTTTTAATTCAAAGATTCTTACCATGTGGTTTTAAAACAAAGAAATGCCAAAAACTAAAAAACAAACAAAAGAAATTAAAAACCATCAGAGCCAAGCAAATAGTACCAGCAGCCAGACTAACAAACAATCTAGATCAAAGTGAAACTATCTTAATTTTAGTTTATTGACCCTTAATTCTAGTAGGTAAATAAGATGATTTGCCAATGGAATTTTTTTATTCTCTTAAAATAAGATAATATGCACTTTAAATAAGACAAATCAATTGTTTTGTTCTTATTTGAAATGTAAATTGTCTTGTTCCATTTGCAAAGTGTCTCACTTACCTCTTCAATTTAAGGACAAATGCACTTCTTTAAGATAAAATGACTTTGGAGTGCAAACCTTGCATGAACAATGATAGAATTTACAAAGCTATTTACAAAAATAGCAAGCGCTGCCTGAAAAAGGAGTGGTTCATGGGTTGGAAAAGGGTAGGGGAGATTCTTTTTACCATGATTGCGTTGGTAAGCTTGACACATGAAAGGGAAGTACAGGTAAGACCAAACACAGAGTAAAAAGATGCCACCACAATATAATGCTGTCCATTAAATATGTTTTTCTCCTTTTATTTTATTTGTTTTCGTTATTTTTTTAACAATGGTGTTGAAAATAGAATAATTAAAGCTGTTTGTCAATTTAAAAAAAATGATCTCTAAAATGTAGAGTTATCCAGTTCCTCAGTGACCATCAGGATACAAAAACATTCAATTTCTTTTTATTATAAAAAAAATGTTTCAAGTTGAATGTTTTTTTTTATATCAATACAGAGAACAATAGCTTATTTGCAAACATCCTCTGTAGTGGGCAGAATTATTATGGAATAATAAAGGTACATGTATTTTAAATGAAGACAAAAAAATATAAAAAGATCAGCCATCCATCCACTGGTAAAACCTGCTTATTCACATACGATATTCGGGCTGTTGCCCATCTTTGGGGGCTGCAAAATATAGTCCCTATGAAGACCATAAGGAAATATAAATGTCAATTGTGATTTTATATCTTAGCTCATTCTGTATATGTAGTCTAGAGAGGACTGATAGCAAATGACTGGGTCAGGTCACATGAGCACTTTAATTTGGCTCTTTTTCTCTCTGATTTAATGACTTGTGAGACACTCCACAGGGTAAGGAGATATGGCGACATCTACACCCACAGAGGGCTGAGAGACGGTACGAGATGGACAGATGAAGGGCATTGAGCTTGCCCCGAGGACAGGTTAGTAGAGAGGACGGAAACTGAATCAGACAGAAACTGAAGAGGGAGTGAGGCAGCAAAAGTAAAAGAGAACCCTGAAATGACGAGACTAGAGTTAAGAAAAAAGAAAAAAAACTTGTCAAGAAGCGGAATATGGATCAAAGTCAAGGCAAGTAGAAAGCACCTCGCCTGTGGAAACACCGGATAGTGCAAGAGGAATTGTCAGTTTGATAATGTCTTTTGTGGATGTAGGAAAGACACTTCATCAGATGCGTTGGTCTGTTCTGATTCCAGTTCCATTATTTGCATTTTTAAGGTTAACTAAATGATGACATAGATTAGAGACATGAAGCATTGAACCATAGGTATGACTCAAGGGCATAACATTACATGTTCAGCACATGCAGTTTACCTCTTATGCATTTCTAATTTCATGCTAGCAGTAGGGCAACTGAGGGAATAAAAAAGAGATGCACAGTGCAATTTTAAAAATGTCAAACAGAGTTATGAAAATGTCAAGGTGACAGTATGGAGAATCAGACAGCGTCAATTTGCCACAAGAGACAGAAGTGTTTTGTAGAACTAAATAATCCTTTAGAGCAAAATTGCTGAAATTATTAAGCAATCGAACCACATGGCTTCTCTCTTTGGCTAAATGCTAAAACTACAGATTTTAAGGCTGCTTTATTGTAATGTCTTTGTATGTGCAAAACGTTGTCTGAAAAGCTTCCAGCTGTGCAGAAAAACTCTAAGTAAAAAACACTTGGAGTAGCAATACTTCTGACTTTTTTTTTCTTTATACAGTATGTAGCAAGCTACATAAAAAAATAAATAAAAAAAAACTATGAAATGTTATCATCCTTCAGTGAAGTTTTCTAAACACATATAAATATGTCAGAATTGCTCTCTGTGAGTTTTTCTCAATGAGCAAAAATTGGTTGAAAATACATTGAAAACATGACATGATTTACGTCCAAACAACGTCTACATTTGGTTGTAAAGTAAAAGGTGAAAAGTCATAATTTTGAGATTGTTGAAAATACGTTGCAAACCCGCTTTGCAACGTCTAGTATATTGTTGAACTAAAACACGACTTAATCCAAACGCCAAACACAGCCCAATTTTCTAAACTATTTCTGCGGTAAATCAAGACTACGTAGGACCGACCAGATTTTGCTTAAAAACCAACGTCTAAATGACGTCTGGTGTTTGGGAGGCTATTTCTGCACAAAAAGCAAACAGACATTTATCTCTAAATCAATCATTTGGTGATGAAGAGAGGGTGATATTCTTTTCATATCCAGTAGGCCACATAATAAATCCTTAAGTAAATTACTATCTGCCTGGTTTAAAAAAAGGAATTATAACCTAATCAAAAACTATAACTAGCAATAATTTACATTAATTAATAAGAAATTAAGTAAAAAAACAAACAGACTAAAGGAAAGTCAGACAATTTACTGCATGGGAAAGAATTAAGGAAAATTATCACATAAACAAGGGGTTTTAGTCAATAACTAAAATTAAAGATCCCTTTCTCCAAACATATTAAACATTATGCTGGAATAAATGTGAATTTCTGGTGTATATATTAATTTAAAATAGCAAAAACAGAGGCTTATTTGCATGTGTTGTTTGCCTCATCTGCCCTCTCAAGGACATTAACAAATGACTTAATGATATGGGCCACTTATGCATTAAATCTGAATACAGACTGGTCAGAAAGGGCTTGAGTCATTTGATTTGCAATAATTACATTTTCAGCTCTCAACAAGTCACAGATAATGACCCCTATTGACATTCATAGAAAATAATTTCTTCACTCCAACTAAAATAGCACCTTAGGGAACAAAAATGCACCCAAAGTAAGAGCTTTTTTTTTGCGGGTATGTAAAATTTGCCAAATAAGGTGATTTGAAATGGATCACTCAAATTAAATGAAAAAGAAGCACATTTTTGTTTCTGGTAATGAATGTATAGATTAACCAAATACTGTATTAGAATGCTTTAAGTACTTAAATGGTTTATGAAGAAAAAAAAACATTTAAAATCTACTCTTTACTGTCAAGCTATCAACAATTCACCGTTTTGCAATCTTTGATAAAGGTACGGTAATACTGGATTTGACATCTTAGGCTGATGTCTCACTGTTTCTTGTCTTGCTATGATATTAAAACACAAATTAAGATATCCAGAATATAAAAATATGTCATAGTTTTGAAATGTACAGATTGCTTTTAAAGATTCTGTGTTTTTTTATTATGTGCATGTTTGGGTTAAGGGTATGGAACTCACAGATTCAGGTGAATGTTAGATTGGATGTAATGTCACATCTGCTTTAAATTTCTTTCCATATTTACATATGAAGGGATCTGCATTGTGTTTGCAAGTGACTTTTCAGAGGCAATAGGTTACATAGTATTCACTGAGGTTAATATTTATCATTGGGTCACTGCTGTGGATTTTGGGTAAAACTTGCATAATTACCAAAGCAGTGGTGACATTTTTGAGCATGTCCAAACCTCTGTGTCAGCAGGGCAACAAATCGCTGATGCTACAGTATGAGATGCAATAGGGTGATGTTTGAGCATTATTTACCATAGGCAGCATATCTCACAGATTTATGCAGTGTTGACATTAAAAGGAAATATGCAATTCTTTAATGGGGGATTCATTTTAGTGGCATTTTGAGACAGTACAATAAAGTGTACTAGTTCATCCAATAAAAGCTGAAGATTACACATAACACACTGCTAGTTCACAATGTTGCTTACAGGCTGATCTAAAATCAATGCTGAACAGAATGACTGAAGGTCAAAAGATTAGATATTATATAAAAAAAATAAAAAGCTCCCAGAATACTCTGTGTTGAAAGTGGTGAGTTTAATAGGGCTTTGGATTGGCACAAATATTTTATTGATGTAGAGAAAGTAGTAGTGGCCTTAGTCATAAAGCTCACAGCCAACTGTAACATGTAAAACTGGATTACAATATCTAAGAAAAATCTCATGCAGGCACCATAATCTGAACGCTTTTCTATTTAAAATGAGGTCAGTAATCTGAATAATGCCATGACTGTGAATTTAGCCAATGCTTGGAACCCGTTACAAAAAACAATGCACTGCTAAGCGGCAAAGCACCTTAAGCGCTCAAATTTGCGAGTCAAAACTAATACAGAAAGGCTACAAGCAGAGCAGAATGGCTTTTTACCTTTATTACAAGATCAGTTCTTAAATCTGTGTCTTTCAAACATGGACATTGTTCAATTTTAGACAATATACATTTTTGCCTGTATTACAAAAAGTGTTCTTAAAGAATAGAGGCAAAAACTTATTCTTACAGGATAAATGATGAATAATATGTAAGCACTCACCACAGAACATATCATTTTGGCAAAAATCCATGTCTTCGTAAAAAGGACTTAAGGACAAAACTTTTGGACACCTACTTAAGGAATGTGAAAATAAACAAATTAAAAGTACATTAATTTTAACATTGGTAGTAACTAAAGCATAATATAGAGCGATTGCCTTACAAATACAGTAAAATTCAAACACATTATCAAGTAAATCAGTCTTCAGTTAATTAT